GCTCTAGCTCTCACTCACTCACTCACTCACTCACTCACTCACTCACTCACTCACTCACTCACTCACTCACTCACTCACTCACTCACTCACTCACTCACTCACTCACTCACTCACTCACTCACTCACTCACTCACTCACTCACTCGCTCTAGCTCTCACTCACTCACTCACTCAATCACTCGCTCTAGCTCTCACTCACTCACTCACTCACTCACTCACTCGCTCTAGCTCTCACTCACTCACTCACTCACTCGCTCTAGCTCTCACTCACTCACTAACTCACTCACTCGCTCTAGCTCTCACTCACTCACTCACTCACTCACTCACTCACTCACTCACTCACTCACTCACTCGCTCTAGCTCTCACTCACTCACTCACTCACTCGCTCTAGCTCTCACTCACTCACTCACTCACTCACTCGCTCTAGCTCTCACTCACTCACTCACTCACTCACTCACTCACTCGCTCTAGCTCTCACTCACTCACTCACTCACTCACTCACTCGCTCGCTCACTCACTCACTCGCTCTAGCTCTCACTCACTCACTCACTCACTCACTCACTCACTCACTCACTCACTCACTCACTCACTCACTCACTCACTCACTCACTCACTCACTCACTCACTCACTCACTCACTCACTCACTCACTCACTCACTCACTCACTCACTCGCTCTAGCTCTCACTCACTCACTCACTCACTCACTCACTCACTCGCTCTAGCTCTCACTCACTCACTCACTCACTCGCTCTAGCTCTCACTCACTCACTCACTCACTCACTCGATCTAGCTCTCACTCACTCACTCACTCACTCACTCGCTCTAGCTCTCACTCACTCACTCACTCACTCACTCGCTCTAGCTCTCACTCACTCACTCACTCACTCACTCACTCACTCGCTCACTCGCTCACTCACTCACTCGCTCTAGCTCTCACTCACTCACTCACTCACTCGCTCTAGCTCTCACTCACTCACTCACTCACTCACTCACTCACTCACTCACTCACTCACTCACTCACTCACTCACTCACTCACTCACTCACTCGCTCTAGCTCTCACTCACTCACTCACTCACTCACTCGCTCTAGCTCTCACTCACTCACTCACTCACTCACTCACTCGCTCTAGCTCTCACTCACTCACTCATTCACTCGCTCTAGCTCTCACTCACTCACTCACTCACTCACTCACTCACTCACTCGCTCTAGCTCTCACTCACTCACTCACTCACTCACTCACTCACTCACTCACTCACTCACTCACTCACTCGCTCTAGCTCTCACTCACTCACTCACTCACTCGCTCTAGCTCTCACTCACTCACTCACTCACTCGCTCTAGCTCTCACTCACTCACTCACTCACTCACTCACTCACTCACTCACTCACTCACTCACTCACTCACTCACTCACTCACTCACTCACTCACTCACTCACTCACTCACTCACTCACTCACTCACTCACTCACTCGCTCTAGCTCTCACTCACTCACTCACTCGCTCTAGCTCTCACTCACTCACTCACTCGCTCTAGCTCTCACTCACTCACTCACTCGCTCTAGCTCTCACTCACTCACTCACTCGCTCTAGCTCTCACTCACTCACTCACTCGCTCTAGCTCTCACTCACTCACTCACTCACTCACTCGCTCTAGCTCTCACTCACTCACTCACTCGCTCTAGCTCTCACTCACTCACTCACTCACTCACTCACTCACTCACTCGCTCTAGCTCTCACTCACTCACTCACTCGCTCTAGCTCTCACTCACTCACTCACTCGCTCTAGCTCTCACTCACTCACTCACTCACTCACTTGCTCTAGCTCTCACTCACTCACTCACTCACTCGCTCTAGCTCTCACTCACTCACTCACTCACTCGCTCTAGCTCTCACTCACTCACTCACTCACTCGCTCTAGCTCTCACTCACTCACTCACTCACTCACTCACTCACTCACTCACTCACTCACTCACTCACTCACTCACTCACTCACTCACTCACTCACTCACTCACTCACTCACTCACTCACTCACTCGCTCTAGCTCTCACTCACTCACTCACTCGCTCTAGCTCTCACTCACTCACTCACTCGCTCTAGCTCTCACTCACTCACTCACTCACTCGCTCTAGCTCTCACTCACTCACTCACTCACTCGCTCTAGCTCTCACTCACTCACTCACTCACTCGCTCTAGCTCTCACTCACTCACTCGCTCTAGCTCTCACTCACTCACTCACTCACTCACTCACTCACTCACTCACTCACTCACTCACTCACTCACTCACTCACTCACTCACTCACTCACTCACTCACTCGCTCTAGCTCTCACTCGCTCACTCACTCACTCACTCACTCACTCCCTCGCTCGCTCGCTTATGTACATTTATGTTTTTCCAGTTAATTTCCTTTCATAACACCATCTTTTAATATTTTAATTATATTATAGTTTATTGAAAATACCTTATCAGAGTACAATTCTTCAATATTTAGATTAATAAAAGCGAAATATGATAACAATTAAAATTTTAATTACTTTTAATATTTAAATTATTTTTAATTAATTTTTTTTTCAACAATATATAAATTTAAATTAACTATCATATTATTATAAGGTTATGTTTTGTCTTTTCCCATACGGGCGTAGTCGTTGATGGAAAGCACTCGGTTTTCACATTTCTCGAGGTGGTATTGGTCGCAGATTTCGTCGCATAATTTGCACACGCATCCTTCTCGGGCCGTATGGAAGGTTTTGTCTTTACAAATGAATTGGTGGAATCCGTGGACTGCGAACCTTGTGTATACGTGGTGGGTCTTGAAAAGTGGCTGCATCCAGACCTCTGAGCGCATCGCCTGCGTGTCGCAGAATTTGGGGTCGAACTCTCGCTGGCTCCGGGTTTAAAATTAAATTTCTTTCTGAAATTTTTCCAGTTCTGTAGTCATCGGTAAATTAAACTTATTCTTTATTGTGTTAGCAAAGAGTCCTTCCCCAACCAAATAATAGATCAGGGTGCTTCTTGAGAATTTACTGAGTCCCAAAACTCTTTTATAATATCTGGTCATTAAATTCTCAAGAGCACGAAAATCACACTGCTTTAAATAGGGCCATATTGTTTCAATCCCGTAAGTGGCAATAGGAGCAAATTTTAAAGAAAAAAGAGCTTTAGCGCAATTTAATGAAAGCTCTCTTAAATTCCCCCCAAAATGCATGGCTCTGATTGAATTTTTACATCTCTCTCTTTGAAAATGAAACACCTGATTGTTGGAAAGTTACACCCAAATAAGGAAAACTGTTTACAAATTCATAATATTATACCCGTTTATAACAAGTTTCTCATTGGCCCCTCTTCTCCCCCTACCCTTATTTGTGAATTTTATTATTTTAGTTTTGGCAAAGTTAACTTCCATCTTCCATATCATTTTTCTTACAATAATCTAAAAATTTTGTCATTATTTGCTCCAATTTTTCTAAACTCTCACTAATGAAAACCATATCATCAGCATACAGTAGAAATTCAACTCCTTCGATGCCTTCAAATACACTAAGTATATCATGAATATAAATGTTGAAACTAATTGGACTTGAACACATACCCTGTTTGAATCCATTTGATTGCACAAAAAACTCAGAAAGGGAAACTTTATCATCTATTTGAATATAATCTATCTCGAATAGTGTGGCTAAAAGCAAAAGTTCTTTTTTAGAGAGTAATTTTTTATCGATTAATTTTTGGAAATAAATTTTTCTATTTGAAAGATCGAAGGCTTTTTTAAGATCAATAAAAACTGCATATTTTTTGTGTCCCTTATCCCCAATATTTGCATAAATTTTAAATTGAAAATCTTTAATGGCATCGAGTGTTGATTTTCCTGGCATGAACCCATATTGTTGCTCTGGAATAAAATCTTTAAATTTTTGCAGAATTCTCTGCGCAAGCAATTTATCTAGTAATTTACATAATGTATTACTTAAACAAATAACGCGTACCGCGATATGAATTAACATCATTAATGTCACCTTTATTTTTATATATAAAATTTTCATGAGTGACACTTTTTCCACTCAGTGGGAATTTCACCCGAAGATAAGCATTTGTTAAAAAGTTCAAAAAAGAGGGTGGGTGCAGCTGCATGAAGTGTTTTAATATTTTCATTTAAAAGTAAATCAGGACCAGGCGCGTTTTTATTTTTTAAAGATTTTATTACTTTAATATTTTAATTATAAATATATATTTTTTTTTCTTGTGCAGAGATGAGCTTCTTCAGCTATTTCTTTTTCTTGCTATCCAGTAGAGAATGGCTTCTTTTTCTGTCCTACTCAGATCATTTGGTAGGGAGTCTATGTCACTCTTGAGAGCGGCGCATCTAAAGAGGTGCGCTCTGTCTTGATTTTCTAATTTACAAAGTTTGCAGGTGGCTGGATCTTTCGTAATCTGGAATCTGTTGAGGTGGTGCTGCAGGACGTCGTGGCCGGTTGCTAGGCGAAATTGTGCTGTTGCTGTCCTGCGAGACCATACTTTGTCTGGGCCCTTTTTAATTTCAGTCCACCAGCTTTTGAGCTTGGCAGCCTCCTCCTTGCTGTTTTTAAAGAGTTTGCTGGCGGCTGATTTGATTTTCTTGATAAAAAAATATAATTTAATTTGTTTAAATGATTAGGGATAAAAATTTAAAAGTATTTTTTGGAAAATATAATTTAATTGAAATAAAACCACATTAATTTATATAAATTTACACCAATTATTTGTAAAAGTACATTTAGCCTTATTGATTTTTAATTTTTTTTATATTATTTTTTTTTTCAAAAGTTTTCACGAAATTCAATTTTGAGAACCTTTTATATCTATTATCTCATTGTAAGATGAAGGATCCAAAAATGGATTTATTTATTGTTAAATTTTGTTATTCAAGTAAATTCAAACGAATCATTTTTCATGTGGATCTTCGAAATTTAGATCAAATTTCAGGTAGGATTGTATTCTTGAGAATCTAACCATTCGTGGGCTACTTTTCCAACAATATTTTTTATTTGTGTAACTTTCGAGTTAACATAATCAATTAACATAAATATGAATTTACAGGATGCTGTGAAACGCCGCAAGCAATTGCTAAATTAATCATGCATTACTTTGTTTTGTAGATGATATAAATTGATGGCTGCTTGATTTATGTTATCCATCATTCAATGTTAATACACCCAGCAGGATTTACTTTGTAATAAATAAAATTAATATGAAGTTGAAACAAATTTTCCAAAAGAACTGGAAAAATAATAATTTTTATCTATATGCACAAGATGAAGAAATTATTGCAGCAAAATCAATCACCGGCAGGTTACTGAATGCTTCGGCATCCAATTCATTTACCCACTTGATTCAACATACTACATATTCTACTAAATAATTTTGCAAGTGGAGAATAAGTGGAATGTAACAGAATTTAATAGCCTGACTCGCCAACTATTAACAAAACTCTCCATTCACTGCTCGAATCGACTTTGAGTAGTCAGCACAATAGTGCCATCAACCAGCGAAAGCGAACAAAATTTCAAAGTTTTCCAAACAAGCAAGTCAAAAATTTAACCCTGCTCCAAAACTCAACAAGACAGAGCCTTGACATTATCACAAAGAGTAAGCAAATAATATAGTCCGATCAACTCAATCACTCTGGTTTGAACCAAAGCCATAAAATTACTTTTTCCTCTTGCAATATACACATAAACGCAGTATGGCTCTCATTTAGATTACACAAATCCAGAATGATTATAATACAATACATGCTTTTATTTATACACATTTCTTGCCCACAAATATATAATATTTTCTTCCTTAATTAGAATCAGAAAAATTTCTCCTGCGCCAGAAATAAGTCATGATATATATCTTTTTTACAATTGGTGCTTGCTTTAATTATTTTGACTATTTAACACCAAAGTTAGATTACAATGGTCTAAGTCTGTGGCTTTGAATTTCTATTTATCCGAGATAATTGGTGTGATACGCTGACAACATTTTTCCCACTAGACACGAGCATGACGTTTTTTTTATAGATAACTCTGTTGACTAAAACCATTTAATATCATGGACAAGCTACAAGCTTCCATTTGCTCGTGTACATCAACGTTTGTTTATATGATTGGCTCGCAGAGAGACACTTCTAAGTTCTACATTCAACATTTGCATCAAAGTCACTCGTGGATTTGTTCAGCCTCTCTTGAGCTAACTACACTTTCGCATTATTAGCATTAACGGTACTTTTGAAGTTTTTATATTTCTGGTGGAGTAACACAATTTATTATCCCAATATATTCTTTTTTAACCTGACCTTCCACAAGCTCCACTCTTTTTGTCTTTTACTCTGTTGCTCTTTCTCTCTCATATCAGAAGTATGCATATGGTGTTTACATAAATTGAGTTTGACGGATAATGGTGCAATTAGTAACCTAGAGTAATGGAACAACTGAGATCAACAAGCCCTCTATTTCTCCACTTCAAACAAATACTCGGAATTTTGATATTATTTACACAAAGCATTTTTTAAATCAACTAATAATATTCTATTTTAAGCGCAAATCGATTCTCTTTTTGGGCAATAGCGGGACATTTTTAAACTGATTATTATTCTGCCCCCACACATTGACCGAGTGAGAAAAACATGACACCCATACAAAACTAATCAATTTGCCAGCGGCCGCGGCGCACACTTATTACTCTTGGCTGACGATTATTACTTTGTGAGAGGCGCCCGCCGCTAGTAACTAAGAAGGAAAGTTCATGCTTATTGAGGATCCGGCTTGTGGTTTGTTGTGTTTAGCTTTTTATCTCCCAACTAGTGTACATCTCATATTGCACCGTTGAACTTCTAGATTCTGGGGGAGCTGAAAATGAAAAAGAACGCATTAATTTATTAAAATATTCTGCATTTTACACAATTTTGAATGTTATATAATTTTTTTTTATTTAAATATTGATTAATCAAAAGTCTTTGTTAGTAATTTAATTTGATTATTTTTGATGAAAAATTCTTTATGATTAATGAATTGCAATACCAATATGATTTCAATTTTTGATATATATAAAGTTTTTTTGGCCAGAATTTATAATTTGACGCTGACCTTAAAGAGCACCAAAGGGGTCTGGTTGGGACTGCTGTTGTTGAGGCTGCATAGCCGGAGGCATGATTTGGGCTCCTGGCGCCGCCATCATCGGCTGTTGCACTCCACCGGCCCACATTCCCTGCTGAGGAGTGAAACAGATTTTCAGACTTGGATATCAAATCAAACTTGCAAATTTCTTCAACCAGCACATAAAAGTGAATAATAGGATGAAGTATTTACAGTGCAACAATAGATAGAGAGAAAGAGAGACCAAAATAAAAATAAGAAGTGTGAGGCCAAGAGTGTCTAGAAACTAATTTGAACGCACTCGTGTCTTTTTTCTTACCATCACAGGGTAGACCTGGGGGCTAGGGTACATGTTGAAGGGTACGGCTTGCGGAGCAGGTTGGACAAGTTGCATGCCCTGGCCCTACAATTGGCAAGCAGTCGTAACAAAAGAAATAAGACTAGCAGAAAACATGCCGACTCAAAAGTTTCAGGCTAAGTAATTATCATTGGTAAGAAGGATGATTTAATTTTTGTTGTGATTTTCTTTGATTTCTATGTCTCTGATTGTGAGTTTAAAAGGACTATTCACAATTATTAGGTATTATTTGAATTGGGTTAACACAATGATTACTCATGTATGGAAATGAAATTTCGAAACTAATTATTAATTCCAATTTCATGAATTTTTTTTTTGAGAATTAAAATGTAAGGTTTGAGAAGATGAAACACTTTTTTTTGTATGATACGAAAACAATAATATACAACATTGAGAGATAATGCATGCAATTTGTGCCAAATGTGTCTACTTTGTGGAAAAATTAAACTCAAATTGCAATAATATAATTTTGTGCGAAAATAAAATCGCAGCCAAAAACGGTGGGATCTCTGTTCAAATAAGTATACTTCATGCATCAAGGTGAAATTTGTTTAAGTAAAAGGCAAATCTCTCACCATTGGTCGGTAATTGGCACCTGTGGTGGCTGCCATTGGTTGCGGTGTCCAGTTTTGACCTGGTTTGGCAGTATTTTTAGGTGAGTTCCACTGCATTCCCCTGCACAAAATAGAACAAAATATTACAAACTAATTCCAAAAGTTTTAAGATTATCTGTTTGGACATTTCAACAACGATAATAACCAAAACAAAAATAAACTAAAACATTACCAAGAATCTAATGGAGACATTTGGATCATGTCAAATTCTGTGTTGAAACTTGAAATTTTAATGAGATTTTGGTACGACAAACTCAAGATTCTTACTTTTGGGCTGGCTGGCTTTTGTTGATGGTGAGGTTGTCTGCTAAACTGGCCAAGCTCGACTCCAGGTCTCCAGTCAAAACGGTGCCAGAGGCAGCGGGCTGCGCAGGCTGGGCTGCTGAACAATTCGGAAACATATTAGCTTGAAAAACTTTTCAAAATTTTATTTCATCGCCAAGCAGTAAAGCCAATGCTGAGAGACACAAGTGGAATAGAGTGGAGTGAGCAGGGATTTGTGAAGAGTTTGCAAAATACAGTGGTTATCATTTATTTTAAGAAAAGCTGATGTGGCATAAAAATAATTACATATTTCACACTTGTATGAAACGCTCTTGGTTTTTTTTAAAGATTTCATTTGAGAATGCCTTCCAACCTTAACTAATGAAGCAGAGGGTGGATTTATCTTGCATTCTAATTATTATTAAATTACATTTTGATCCTTGCTTGGTTGGTTAGTTAGTTTGCATATTTGCTAAATAAATGAAGGTTGTGAGATTAAGGGAAAAGTATAATTTAATCAAAAAAGCAGTTCCACACAATAATTTTCACATCAAAACAGTTAAAAACATTTTCTCGCAACTCTCATTGACTTTACATTTAATAAAACTGACCTGTCGAAAGGCAAACCTGATTTTAATTACGGACGGTGTGCGTTTATTATAAAAAAATGGGTCATCCAATACAATAATCATGCAGATTTCCCACAAAGTCATCAAAGCCACAAAAATGTACAACCGAGCATTTTGAACTTTAATTAGCAGTGGTTAAAAGCAAATGGCATGATCGCTGAAAGTTGCACATTGATGAAAATGCGTTCAAATTTCAACATATTATGAGTAATTGATTTTTTTTTAATTTGAGGTAGATTTTCTCTTTCCAATTTGCATGACAATGGAACACTAAACAACTGCGGATAGAGATGATAGAACTAGATAGAGCACAGCCTGAGCGAGCCATCCGTCCAGCAACACCAAGATCAAACCATCACCTGTTTGACGCGCAGGCGATCCGAACGCAATGGAAGGGGATCCAGTTTGGGGGAGCAAAGTCACAGAAGGTGGTGGCGGTTGTTGAACAAGGATTGGTATGACAGGAGCGGGGGCAGGGACGTGCGATGGAGAACCGCCGAGAGCGGCGCGGATACTCTCGTTCAGATCCTCAAACGCACTTTTTGGGGTGCCTTTGGAGGGAGTGCCGAAGAGGGAGTCGTCGGCAGCACCCAAGGGTGCTTCGACCAATGGAGCGCCGCCACCACCATCCCCGAAATTAGTAGCAAACGGATTTGGATCGGCTGGCGACAGGGGAGAGAAATCCCAGCAGCGTGCACAGAGATTAGGCCAGAGTCGTCTTAATACAGCTGACTATGACTTTTAAATTGTCATTCGCTTGATCACAGTCAACAACGTAGCAAACAACATTTATTTAAAGAGATTTGTTGTTGGTTAAAAAAGTAAGAGTGAACGCATTCTCCATGAGCAGAGATTAGTAATTAATCGTATTAAAGGTAGCAAAAAAATTAATTGTCAAAGCAAAAGCTACGGACATCAACTTACAGCTATCATTTGCATCTCCAAAGACAGAACTGAACGCCTTGTCAGAGACAAAGTTTGATCCTACCGCAGCCGTGGCTGCAGGGAGAGGAGAGGCAGCCGCGAATCCTGTGTTTATGATTGGTCAACAACACACGTAAATAATAAAAATTGAGAAAAGATAAAGACACATAGGTCGGAACAAAATCAAAACTTCTAGAAACTGAGCCTCAGGCTAGCATTTCCACTATGGACAACTTTACTTAAGAGGCTATGGCCCAGTTTGGAGTAAAGCTCTTTGAAGGTGTTTTTAATCTAATCATGCCAATTGTAAGACACTTAGAGTAAATTTGTCGACTCTTAAAGTTTTGAAATGTTCTTGTATATTTAGTATGCCTCACCGTTGGTGGCCCACATGTTAGCAGGGGCGGCAGCGGCAGCCGGTTGAGCGGGATTTCCGCCCACGCCTCCGAACATGTCTGCGAATGGATTTCCACTCAGCTGCAGAAGATCGTCTGACGCTTTACTCTGTAAAAATATAATTGTTAAAATTACTTTTAAATATTTAGCTTTTAAATCAACCTGTGCAGCTGCAGCATCAGGCGTTGAGAAGAAGTCGACCGCTGCAGCTCCAGAGTTGGTAGGCGAACTGAGGAACGGGTTTGTGCTACTGTTGTTCTGGGTTGGACTCGACTTTTCCTGTGGAAACTAAATATAGTTCTCAAGCAGTTGCTAAAGTTCCTGACATTTTACTTTGTAGGCATTGAGAGCAGCCTCCTCGTCTGCTAACGCCTGCCTTTTCAGGGTCTCGTCAATACTGGCAGCCAAGGCTCCGTTGGACTGCAGGGCAGCTGTGGCCTCATTTCTGGCGGCCGACCCGAATGCAGAACTAGTGGAGGAGAGGGCGGAAACTCCAGACGTTATATTTGTTCTAAATCGAGTAGGTTGAGTGGCAGCATTGGGGTTGGGGGAAGGTTTGGGAGTTCAACAAGAGGGAAGAACTACCATCAGAATTTTACTCAACACATATTACTTCTAAAAACTACAATGTCAATACTTGTTTGTATGTAATGATTTTTTTTAGTTTGAATGAAAAGCAGCTATACTCACTATTAATGAAATGACTTTTGAAGATGGTTGATTTTTTTTCTATTTACATTCTGATGGATTAATGAGAGCTGGACAAGCATTTTGATTTATGGAGTGGGCAATGGGAGGATCACAGCCACTACAACCAAACTATATCTATATAGTGAATAATTTAAGATAAGATCCACTTAAGAGGAGGTAGTTAAACTAAAGCATTATTTTGTGTAAAAGTTTTAAAAATTTTGAGAAGTGCTTTAAAATAAATCATAACATGTAGTCAAAATAAATTCTGAATGTGATCATAGACTAAATGAATGTATTATTAATCTCTCGAAAGAATTTACTCATCAATACCTTGCGGACTGGGTGGGAGTATTGGCTGCAGATCCTTTCCTTCCTTCCAACGCAGCAAGGTGCTGTTCCAAGGCGTCCAGTAAGCTGCTGGGAGCCTAATCAAACACAATTCATAAATGTTTATTTAAATTGTTTAAATTGTTTGTACCTTTGTGAGGTCAGGAATATCACCCTTATCTATGCCAACATTCTCGGCCACTTTGAGGAACTCGGCAACCCGGTCCATTCTGATAAGGAATTTCTTATACAAGTCGAGCGCGTCTCTGCACTGCTTCTTGTTCATATCAAAGTACTTTTCAAGCAGATTAATTATTCCGTCGTTGTAGCAGGCAAAGAGACGGATCAAGTCTCTGAAGAGAAGCATGAAGCACATGTTGATGACTCCGTTAGTCAGGTCGTTGGCTGAGCAATCGAATTCAAGCAGGCCGTCCAACTGGGCCTGCAGCACGGGCAGCGTCTTCAGCAGCTTGTCAGTGTTCATGGTCCTCAGGGTGCCGTCGCCCTTCCTGAGGTCAAAAGAACATTTTAAATAACATACAATTTTTTTATTTCACCAGGGCATACCCTCTCTTGACTTTGCAGAAGTCAAAAGCCACGGTTCGGTAAGAGAGGGCCTTCTCGTTAAGGTACTTTGCGTATCTCCTGATAAACGGAGACATGTTGTATCCTGCAACGGGCGAGAGCAAAACATTAGCGGCTAGCGGACTGTGAAACAATTAGTTCGAGAAGATAAATTTTAGTTTAGCGGCGCGAGTATTAATTAATATGAACGCGATAAGATCGGGTTTCAGCTATAGAGAGCGGAGGACAGGGGACAGAATTAAGAGTAAATGCACACTCACCAATTTGAGCCCCGCCTTTTGTGATGCGGCAAAGGATTAGAGAGAGAAAAGAATAATGTGATTAGGTATTCTGTAAGTCAGCAGTGAAAGCAGCATTTAATGCACAGTGAAGATGACAACAATGAAATTCTGTCTGCATTGAAATGTGTATTTATCAATTTTCCCACAAATCTTGAGTTAGGGAAATTGAATGAACAATCTTTTAAAGTTTAAAATTGAATTAAAATGCATCAAGGTTACAATTTAGTTTGCATTATCAGATGTACAGAATTTCATCTATTCACTGACAAAAAAGCCAGGTGTGCTTAATCTTGTTTGCTGTGGTTTCTTTGCTCACCTTGCACCCCGCTTTTGTCGAGGAAGTTGCTGAGTTGAAAGGTGCTGTTGCTGGATGCCAGGTATTGGGTAAATCTCTGCGGAGAAAAAAAAACAATGAGTGTCTTTGAGCGAGAGGAAATAATGAGATGTGCGGCACCTCATTGCCGTAGCAGAGCAGGTGGTGCACGGTGAGGAGCGCTTTGTACACCACCACCCAGTTGGTGTTCTGCGACCGCTCGATCAGCAGATTGGCTAGTTGGGGGATGCTCACGTTGGGCTCGTTAGTGCAGTGGATCAAATCTGAAACACGACAAGGCCACACATCAATTAAATTCACCTTCGCTTTTCTTCTTCAAGAGATGGATGAAAAAAAAATTTCTCATAATCTCTGTGTCTGAGAATAAATTATTATTATTGTTGTTTATTTGTCCAAATTGTTAAAATACGTTGGTTGCAATCAATTGTGGAAAACAATTTATTTGAAATGAGAGGAATTGTTGGACAAAACGGCACCACCACTAGCAAGAATTTTGCTAAAACTTCCGAGATCAAACAAAAATACCCCATCCGCGGTTGACTTGGTTTTTCTTCTTACTTACCACTTACTTTTTTTTCTCTAATTCCAATTAATTTTTAATTTTAACTTTTTAATTTATTCTGGTTTAATCTTAATAACGACATTTTCTTTAAAAATTTTTATGGCAAAAACACCAATTACGCTCCGTGTAATGCAACTTTCTACCATTTCGCAAATTGCATCGTGTGACATTTCTCACATGAGCGTGCGACGAAATGAGAGGCGAGCAGAGAGACAGTCTCTGCGATGACAAAGGTACAAAAATCGATTAGGAAGAGAGTAACAGAGTGTGCTGTGTTGCCGCCCAACCACCCCCGCCGCCCACGAACGCCGGTGGCAAAATTTTCATTCGCGCTGCCTGAATGGCCCATTTGCGCATGCTAATCAGGGTCAAGCACTCATAATTTCAATCCTGATTGGTTGCTGAAATCAGTAGACGGTCAAAATATTTCATAATGTAATCAAAAAAATTGCAAAGAGGTGAAAAAAAAATGATCAATTGATTTCATTATACTGCTGAAGAATGAAACTAGCATTTTTCAAAGGATAAAAGTATCAGTAAATTAATTTAAAAGAATACACTTCGAAAAAAATTTAGAAGCGAGTTCATCCATAGCGCGTTCAACACACTTGTTCTTTATTTATCAAAGTGGGTCAAGCAAGACTGATATTGATTTTCGTTCTCGACTCTGTGGTGCTGCCCCTGAATGGAGCTTCGCACGGCCGTTCCGCTTTTGGTGCCAACTGCATCTGCATTTTCGTGGCTCGTGAAAAATTGGCTGAAATGGCCCAACGAGTCGCAGCATCTTCGACGACGGTGCAGCCAAACATGGTCGGTGCAAGAAGGGGGCGTTTTGAGGGGCTGCGCTCGCGAGCACGCGATATCGATTCGCCCCTGAAGCTAGGCCACTGGCTGGCAGCGCTCCATGCCCTACGCTACTCTAGCGGCGCCTAATTCTTTCGGGCGTCGAGAAATTTCCCACCCAGCACGAAAACGCCTGTCTGGAGACAAGAATTTTATTTTATCAGTAACGGCACATGCAGAGAAATCTTATTAACATTTCTTCGTGCGTTTTTCTTTTCTTAAATAACATTACAAAATATCTGTCATTAAAACATTTATTTTTAAATAAAAAATTGAGAAATTTGAATGTAAGAGGACCACCAGGATTCACGTTTTTAATTTTGCAAATATTAACTTACGGACTTGAACCAAAAAATTCACTCGCTCTTTTTTAATTCAAGCAATTAAGGACTCCTTATTGCAATGCTAAGAGTACCAAAGAGGTTTTTTTGATCTCCCATTATGCCCAATGTAAAATTTTTGCCCCATGAACTCCCAATTTTTTTCTGCTTATCTGTTTAGGGTCATTCAATTATCATTTTGTGCAAATTTGAGCAAAAAATTTCGGGCAGATTTTTTTTAATCGCCATAAACAAAAATCTCCATAAAACGCCATGTTAAATTTCAAAAAATCATATTTCAAGATTAATCCACGCGACCCCCCATTTTTCTTTGAGCAATCAACTCCACTGGTGGGCAGAAATCTATAAAAAAATCTGGGTCCAAAAATTTCGGGCCGATTTTCCGCAAACTGAAGTTGTAGATGTCAATAAGGAGGCCTTAACAATACAATTAATATTTTGGCTTTGCAGAGGAAATTATTGTGAAAATTCGAGGAAATTCCCTACGACTGTAATGATTTATGACATTATTTAATAAATTAAACTCCAAGATTGCTGGAGGAGAGCTGGTTATCCTCATTCAAGAGTGGAGTGTGATTCCCAGCATCGTCATCAAGGTGCTTGAACTCCACGATTTATCTCCTTGCACAGTCAGCGAGATTTGCGTCATTTTAAAATTTTGACTCAGATTCTCACTGCATCGAATATGTTTAAAATTTAAAAAAATTCAGAACCTTCAGCAATCAAATAATGATTTTTTTTTTTTTTTTGCAATTTTTATGGTGTTTAGCATGTGTGATACAAAAAAACTTGAATCTGCTGTGAAATTGTCGTACGACAGGATGTGCAGCTCGTCTTGCGGTGCGCGCCGTTTATCTGAATAATCATTGAAATACACGCGAATCCGGACGACTTTCCCACAAACTGCGGCCGAGGTTAAATATATTGAATCTGCAAAAGCCGTACACACTACAGTGCTATGTGTCTTCAGACTCGACAGTGATTCCGCCTGGCGAACGCAAAGCACGTGCGCTGTTTCAAGTTGCGCATTCCGTGCTCTGCAATTTTCTCATGAAGCATTTGAAGAACTTTTAAAACATTTCAGGCAATCACGTTTCAGAATAGTGAAAATTATGATAGAAAATTCTTTGCTTCCATTTAATACTAATATTTTTAAATTTAATTGGATACTAATATTAAAAGATCTTTGATGGAAATGTAAAATTTTTTTTAAAAATGAAAGCGAATATTTCTTAAATTTTTGTCTTGGTAAAGATTAAGATTTTGTAAAACAAATTTTTGTACAAAAATCTATCTTACAATATTAGTTTCCTTTCCAAGTAACAATTTTTCGTGATAAATTATTTTTACATTTTAACACTAATCAATTTTTGAACACTAATTTGACAATTGAATCTAATTTTGCTTATCAATTTCTAAAAACTATTATTATTAATTATGAAATATAATTTCTTCACAAAATTTTGAATTCAATTGTCAAATTTTGTGATCAAAATAGTTTTGTGTAAAATGTAACTTGAGATTCAAATAACAAATTCTCAAGTGATTCGTCAATGGCGGCAAAGGCAGAAAGGTTTCATCAATTTAAAATTCAACTAATCGTCGGGACGGATTTCCCAGCCTTGGCCTTTGCCGCTTTGGGTGCGACTTTTCGTTGTCAGCGAGCCCTTGACTCATTTTGCGAATCTCGGCGCAAGGCCCCGTTGTGCGGCGAGGCTGCTTCGGACAAAGCACCGCGGCGGATGGATGAAATTGCCTAGCAAACGAAAAACGACGCCTAATCGAGTGTTTGTTGTTTGCGTTGACGTCAAGCTTTTGGTTTTCACGCGAGTCCGCACTCGGTTCGTGTTTTCATAATTCACCGGTTCGTTTTGGAAATAATAATTTCAGAGGGTGATTTGCAAGCAAACTGGTTCAAAGAGAGTGTCGTTGCGTAACGCGCGATTGAATAATGGGCGCGGCAGTGCACAGCTGAGCGAATGACCCAATTAACGCACTGACTGTGTCTTTCTATCCATCAACGGCCGATATTTCATGAAAGATTCACCCCAGAAGATATTTTTAGTTTCTAGACCTAAGAACCAAAAATAGCGTGAATAAAATAATGTTTATTAATAAACAATTAAAAGTACGTTTTGATTAAGACAGATTTAAAAAAAAAAAAAAAAAAAAAATTTAAAAAAAAAAAATAAATGAAGTTTTATATTTTAAAATTATCCGAAGTAAATTATGCTATTAGAATAGTCTGGAGTTCAGAGAGATACTTTTTATTAAATATAATTTTAAAAAAAAAATTATTAAATATAATTAAAAAATATTAATGACTCGTTTTACGCGTAAAAAATCTGAAATTAATTTAATTGACCTTCATTTTTTTCTTATAAATTATGCAATAAATTCTCAATCCAGCAAACTGTCACGCATGAATACAAAAATAATATTATTTACTATTCACACTGGTTATAAATTTGAACATTCTGTATTGAAGACTTATTTTAATTTCTATTGTGCCTTTTTTGCAACTAATTTATCTATCCAAATCGAAGGTGGGCGTCTCGGGTGTTGAATTTGAATTCAATAATATGCAAGCAGCCGAGAGTCAGATCGAAAGAGTGACCTACTGCGGCGTTCAAATATAGGTGCCGGCGGTGCTGTAACCGTCTGGGCGAAAGTATTTTTCTTTTTCTTATGACACGTCTTACAAACTTGAGACGAACGTTTACTATCTGTACACGGCGGCGTATGAAATTTACTTTCACCGACGGCGTTCGGTTTAATATTCCGCAACGCCGCGAGTGGCTGATTCATTATTTAAATGAAATTATCGTCCCGAATAAGGCGGCGGAATTCATTTTTAATTCCAAGTATAGAAGAATAAAAAGTCGTGCTCAGCCAGCGCGAATCCCGCAAGATCACGCACGCGAAAGGCGAAAAGCAACGCCGGCCGGTCGTTGTGCCAAGTTCAGTGCCTCGTTCGCTTGTGTGGGTCACGCCTCGGTTGCCCAGAATTCCGCTCAAATTCGGCGGATTCCATTGAGCGGCGGCGATTCTGAAGGAAAAAGTACGTCGGGCTGCGTGCAAGCGAGTCACGAGGCCACGAGTGCGTATTTTTAGCGGCTTTCGGCGTCCATCCAAAAACGCGATTTCAATAAACAATTTGTGCTTCCGGTGGACCCACTCTGATTTAGCTCCGCCACCAGGTTTGCGCTGACAAAATAGCCGGAGCGTCTGGAAGCGATCCAGTAATAAATGGGAAAAGCCAAAGGCTCAATAACTTCAGCAAATAAACAAGATGATAATGTTCAATTTAATATAACCACAATTTCCATGCCTTGAATTCAATGAAACTTAAAAAGCATGAGAATTTGCTGAACAATAAATTAACCCTATAAAGAAATACTTGATATGAAATCATAAAATTGAAATCAAAACTGATTCAAAGATAAACTATTGACAATAATTTAAATGGTGATTCCAATTTAAAGAAAAAGTGTGCTTTTCCTCGATGGGACATTAA